GGGATCGTCTCTTTTGCATCATGGTTTGCGGGAACCAGCCCCGGAGCAAACTGACCAGACACGTGGACCTCGTCGAGGGCGTCCAGCACGCCCGGAGGGATATTCGCCAGGGCCACTTTCTCCTTTGCGCGCTCGAGAACGCAGACAGACTGACGCTTGCCCGAGGGGTCTTCGCAGCGGGCGATCCTCGAAGCAGCCACAGCACCACCGTAGCCCGAACCAATGACGACGCAGTCATAACTGTTGCGCATGAGTTCAACCGGCCTGGCAATCTCAGGGAATTTCTTGGTTCGGGCATCGTCGCTGTAGGTGCGAATGTTGGCGTGGTGGCGGGTTCTGGGGCCACCGGCGTCATCTTCATGGGGCCCGAAACTCTTGATACGGTGTGACTGGGAGTGCCTGATGCCATTTGATGGCTCTGGCTCGCGATAGGATTGCGGGCGCGGTGAGGAGGAGGATGTGCTCGGCCTCGAGGAGGAGGAGGCGCTGAGAGCTGGCGATGCGGGGCCGGGCTCGGCGGCGCAGGAGTGACCGTTGGATGTGCCGTTGGATGTGCCATTGACCGGAGGCGGGAAGGCGACCTTGCCTTTTACCTTGGTAGGCCGAGGCGACGTATCTTCAGCCATGGGTGCCATGGTAGGCAGCGTCGCGACAAGGGCTGACAGTCCTCACGTTGTCGCGGGTCTCAGCTGGCTACTGTCGTGGAGGGGTGTGCCGGGTCTCGTGACCAGGGAAGGGCGATACGAGGTAGGTTCACAAGTAGGGGGCGTGTTTTAGAGATTAAACATCTAGAACAAGACAAGAACTCGAGGATTCGAGGGACTGGATGAACTGCACACCCATGGGAGGGAAGGGACAAGGCTAGATTTATGATAATGGCTGGTGGACACGGACATGGTAGGTCAAGACGATGGGGCATATGAATGCGGATGCAAATGAATGGAGGAGACGGGCTCTGGGAACGAGCGATGGATGGACTGGCGCGCCGGCGCACAAGGCAAGGCCCGGCCGGGGGAGGGGGGAGGGGTCCGAATCGAGGTAAGGGGGCCATGTGAAAAGAGAAGGCAACGGATTTGCTGCCTTTGCTTTCGTTCTTCGCTCCCGTGCGGACTGCAGATGGCGTCGGGTCAGATGCAGTCCAGCCAATACTAGACAGGGTTCAGGAGGGCTGAGGCCCGGAGGATGATGACAGGGGGGGTGGTCAGGGTGGTCAGGGTGGTCAGGGTGGTCAGGGTTGGCTGGGCAGGATTTGGGGTCTATTGAATGGTGAGAAGCCGAGGCGGAGGGGGCCAGCTAGAGACTAGGGCGAACGGTAGACAGGCCGGAGGATGTGATGAGACGGGCAGAAATAGCATCTCTCCCTTGGTCGTTCGGTCGTTGGGTCATGGCCGGCCAAGCAGATGCTGACTGACTGACTGTCAGTACGTCTCCGTCAGTCAGCACGTCGCGAATGCGTACAACCATGGTGATGCAATATGATACCGCCTCTTGTTCGAGCAAGGGGGGGCCCATGGAGACAAGGACGAGCAATGAAAAGATAGAATCGGCATGATGGCTGACGGCGACCAGCCTTGCTGCCTTGCTGCCTTGCTGGCCGGGCTGAGCACCCCATTTGCTGTGACGTGAAGAGAGGGCAACGACCAACAAGACGCAAGATGACAGGAGACAGGAGACGGAAGGAGAGCGGCTGAGAGAGTTGCTAAGCCAGAGACGTTGGGGGCGTGAGGGTCGAACACTGGCGAACCACGTGCCATTGGCGGTTGGCGAAGTGCGCTGGTGGAGAAGCAGAGACGAAGGCTTGGAAGGGGGGGAGGGGGGGGGGCGCCTGGGATGGAATCAACAAGGCTATTTCGTCTCATTGCTTCTTCATTCTTGGTGACGACTCCATTCATCATCCAGAAGCAGAGCTTTGCTTGATTCGCCGAGACGCGATCAGTCCTGGCCGTGATGAGTTGCACGGCGAAGGGCGGCGGAGCCGAACGCAACGGGAAATCCGAAGGAACGGTTCGGTGAGGACGGCAGGAGAAGGAATCTCATCCATCAGCACGGCACGCAGATCGGAAGAGAGCCTGGCGAGGCTGTCAGGCAGCCAAGCGGGATATTCAGTGTGTGTGTGTATGCATGTCTTGGTCGAGCCATCTCGAGGCGGAATGCTTGCAGCATGATGTGATGGTTGCGTCTCAAGTGATGCTGCCTCGGACAATGTGGTCAGTCGCAGTGGCAGTGGTAGAGGCAGGCAGAGGCGGTCGCACGGGAAGCCGGTGAGTTCTTTTTAGCACAACCGTGGCCCGAAATGGAGATGCGAAGGAGACGAGAGGGCTGGAGGCTGGCTGAAGGCTGGCTGAAGACAAACCGATTAGGCCCAGTCGAGAAGGGGTGGTTGCCAGCCTGACTCTGGTCGAGTCCAGTGCCCCAGCGTTCGCAGCGTGCTCAGCGTTCCCAGCATTGGACCCTAGGTCGCTTACTTCGTTAGCTTCCTCGCAGCGTCCCCTGGGGCCGGGCCACAGCCACAACACGCCAGTCGCAACCCCCCCAGGCAGTTCTCTGATTGGCCGCTTAACGATCCTTCCTGCCTCTGGCTCTTCTCATCCTTTCGCTGCGGGCAGTCATCACCAACAACAACCCAGAGATGCCTATGCCTGCCTGCCTGCCAGCCCTTCACCTACCCTGGCCCTGCCAAGACTGGTGGTCTCCCTCCGAGATGCTTATCTCTTGGCTGTTGGCTGCTAGGCACGAAAAGGTAACATGTCCACATGCGGATTCGCAGAGCCCCCCCATGTGACTAAGACCGCTAGCCGTCTCTGACAGCCATCACTGAAACATCGCGCCTAGGTGTCATTGCCGACCTTGTTCAAGCCGTCCAATTGCCAAATGAAGAGCTGCCGGCCTCCCCGAGCAACTTGGCCACGCCGCACCACACCCTTGCTCTCCTCCTCTTCTCCCCCCTCCCGACAGTCTTCCTTCACCCGCGCGTGCCTCGCCTGCATGGGGGATGGGGGGAGAGGGTGCATGCCATGCCGCCGCTCCGGGTAGGGCTGAGTGGTGTCCACCTGCAGGGGCCCCATCGCGAGCACTGCTTCCACCCTGCCGCTCTGTCGCCATGTGACAGGCCGCGGGCCGTGTGGCCTACCGACGCCTCTGATCTGCGAAACGCCTTCATGGCCGGGGATCCTCGCAGGAGCGCCATCAAGGTCCGAGCAGAAAAGGGAGAAGGGGGGATCGAAAAGACGAGCGAAAAGCATGCGGGTGTTGGCGCAGCGGCGAAAACAAGAAACAAGATACAACCACTTTGCTCACCGACTATGCTCGTTGCGCTTTCATGCCTGCTTCCTTGACCGAAAACTCGTACATTCACCCACAGTATCATGCCCCCCCTTTGCCTCGTACGTGCTCATCTCGCTAGGAACACGGCGCCAGCCGCCTGTCTCGCGATCAATTCCAGACCATCGCACGGCAGGTGCTAAACTAAGAGCTCTCACCCCTCCGTCCAGTCTGTCCTACCGAGCACAACCTCCCCGATCGCCGACCTCGCGTCCCTTGACCCCCCCGCCTCCGTCGCACACAAACGCTCTCTACCCTGGCCTGGTCTACTGAACACCCTCCGCCATGAGGCCGTGGCAGGGGTTCGCCTCCCATTCCGAACCCGCGTCACACGAGCTTTAATCTGATGTTATCGTCTTCACTTTGTAGTTTCCGGCACGAGGGCCAATTGATGGTCGGCACGAGGCCCAATTGATCACGGACATCAGAAAGGGGCAACCCATCACGTCGTCACATTCAGGGGCATGCATCAGAGAGACGGAAGGATATTGTTTTAAAAAAAATGTTGTTCAAAGTTGGCTGGCCTACTGCCCTGCCTATCAATCATGTCGTGTCGTGAGGTATCCCAGGCGCCAAAAACTCCTTTCCGCCGCGCATCACAGGCTTTCTATCCCGGCAGAAGAAAAAAAAAGACAGCACAATCAAGAGCATTCGGGTGCAACGAGCAGGGTCTCCCTCGCTTAGTTCCACCAGTCACCCTGGTCGTGCATGGCGCGCGCGACCTTGACGAAGCCGGCAATGTTGCTGCCGGCGACCAGGCTGGGCAGCTCGCCGTCGGCCGTCTTGACGTACTGCTTGGCCGTGTTGACACCGTTGAGGAAGGCGTTCTTCATAATGTCCTTGAGCTTCTCGTCGACCTCCTCGCGCGTCCAGGACAGACGCTGGCTGTTCTGCGCCATCTCGAGGCCGGACACGGCAACACCACCGCAGTTGGCGGCCTTGCCGGGGCCGTACCAGACGGCGGCGGCACGCTTGGTCTTGCGCGTCTCCTCGAAGACGTCAATGGCCTCCTGGGTGCAGCCCATGTTGGAGCCCTCAGCGATGGCGAGCACGCCGTTGGGCGATGAGCGCCTCGGCCTCCTCCTTGGAGACCTCGTTCTGGGGTCGCGCTGGGGGGGGGGCGACATCGACCTTGCCGGACGTGGGTCCAGGGGCGGAGCGCCCTTGATGTACATGAAGGCGCCCCTTGTGGGTCGGAAGGCGGTGAGGGGCTTGCGCTCGAGCTTGAGGCCGGCAATGGGCCCTCAATCTGCTCGGGGGGTGAAGGGCGGCGTCGCCCCTCGGCGCACGAGAACAGCCCTGGGAGTCGGACAGGGGAGACAACAGTGGGCGGCCGGAGGCTTCGCGAGGGCGGCGTACTGGGCGACGTTGCCGGAGCCGGAGATGGCGACGCGCTTGCCGGCGAATCCACCCTTGCCGGCGTACTGCAGCATGTGGTCGACGTAGTAGACGAGACCGTAGCCGGTGGCCTCGGGACGGATGAGGGAGCCGCCCCAGGAGTTGCCCTTGCCGGTGAGAACACCCTCAAACTTGTTGCGCTCCTGGCGGTAGGTACCGAAGAGGTGGCCAATCTCGCGGCCACCGACACCGATATCACCAGCGGGCACATCGGTGTCGGCACCGATGTGCTTGCTCAGCTGGCGCATGAAGGCAACGCAGAAGCGACGGATCTCAGCATCGCTCATGTCCTTGGGGTTGATGTCGGCACCACCCTTGCCACCGCCAATGTTCAGGCCGGTGAGGGCATTCTTGAAGATCTGCTCGAAGCCGAGGAACTTGAGGACGGACAGGTTGACGGTGGGGTGGAAGCGAAGACCGCCCTTGTAGGGACCGAGGGCCGAGTTGAACTGCACACGGTAGCCGCGGTTGACACGGGTGTTGCCCTTGTCATCCTCCCAGACGACGCGGAACTGGATGACACGCTCAGGGATGGAGACGACCTCGAGGGCGGTGCGGAACTCGGGGTGCTGGGAGAAGAGGGTGCTGTCCTCGAGCGTGCTGACAAGCTCGCTGTAGGCCTGGAGGAACTCGGGCTCGACGGGAAGGTGAGACATGGTGGGCGGTTGTGTGGTGCAGGATGTTGGGTTCTGGTATGTGACTATGGCTGCTACCTGAGCTGCTGAACGGAGAGGATGTACGGTTGGTATACTGGTGGCAGGCAAGCAGGTCGGTTGTCAGGCGTGAGAGAGGAAGGGCAGAGTAGGGACTCGAGAAAGAGACGGCGAGAGAGAGAGAGGTCTTTATAACCCAGGTGGAAGGAGCATCGGTGGTTGTTCGTTTCGGGGGCACCGCCAGTCGGTCATGCCAGCAGCTTCCGTTCGCGGCGACCCCAGACCCAGAACCAGGGGGCATGCCCCCCTCCCCAGGGCGAGTGCCGCGTCTGCCCTCGCGCAATTATTTGCCTCTCCCGAAGAAAAGGTAAGGTGTGTGGTGCGGTGCGGCATGGGCCAGATGGTAGGTTTCCCCAAGCGACGGCCTACGGCGGAGGCGACGGGCAAGAAGGTAGGCTGGTGCGAAATACGGAGGCTACTTGTCCGGGCCAGCGACCGCCGCTTGGCCCTTGGGCTTGGGAAGCGCAGTGGCCGGCCATGCGTCCCGTCTTGTCGACTTGGACTGACAAGAGGTGTCAGTGTGCTTCATGCTCATAGGCAGGCGAGCGTTAGCTCTATCTCCCAATCGCAACGAGATGAGCCAATGGCGCGGCGGCGAAGCAGGCGTCGACAAAAAGTCGCGACTAAGTCCCCCCCGTGTCTGACGTACAAAAAACTGATGGCCTCCCAGGGTCGTGGGTCGGGGGGGGATCTTGGGGTCGTTCGTGGCAGCGGGTCTGTCGCACTCGGTCCAAGGCGGCAGGGCCCTGGATCCCTGTCCATCCGTGCTTTGGCGCCGGGTTATCTCGTCCCATCTGCATCGGCAAGTCGCCCGGAATCTGTGATGACGGAGTGCGGCATGCTTTTTTGGAGGGGGCAGGTCGCGTGCGGCGTGGCGCTGCAGCGTCCCCAAGATGCTTGTTTGTCCATGGCCCATTGATTGCCCATTGCTGGTGGGAGGCAGACAGGGCTCGGTCTCGAGATGGACGGGCGGTAGATGGGATGGCCCTGCAGTGGCACTGGGTGAGGCCCGACCGACATCGCTGCTGCTCGCGGCCTGTCCCGTCGCCCTTGCTACGCTTTTCCATTTTCCACTCCCAGGGAATGCACGCACACGGCGAGGAAGGAGAGAGTGGACTGACGAGAAGGCCGTGGCAAGAGCTACTCGGCCGAATCCCGACATCGGACACCCCCCCCCCCCCCTCTTCCTCCCAAGCGACCGCCAGAAACGCCAGCCATAAACCGAGCAAAATTGAGAGAAGAAAGGTTCCGACGCCTCGGGCTGCACTAGTACCATGTCTACTAGGCTTGGCAGAGACATCTGCAACTTAAAGCCGCAACGCAACCTCATGCCTGGAACGGATTGACATCCGCCCACCCTCGACCCATCGCAACCTACTAAGCTACATCTTAGCTGAAGCCTTGACACCAACGCCCCCCGCCGACCAACCAAGTCGGCCCTGCTCGTTATCTCTACCATCTCCGTGAGGCTCTACCGACCGCCTGCTCCGTAGCATGACCATCCATCTCTTGTCAGAGCTGTCGTTTCGACACGTCTGAACCATTCCCCGCGGCCTCATCACCTCGCCCCCCCCGTCCTCCCTCCATCCCGCCCACCTCCCCTCTCGCCGTCGGCCACCCCCGACGAATCCCGCTCTGCCATCCCACTGTCCATCCTCCCACTGAGCCGATTCTTTTTCGCAGCTCCATCAGCTACATCAGGCTCCAGATCAGAAACGAAATCCCGCGCAAATCTCGGTCCTTTGAGACCACCGCCTCGGCCACCCGCCCTCGGAATTTATTTTTATCATCACCGACCGCCGCACATCACCAATCCACCGACAACGGACAACCCCCCCCAGGCTCCGACGACGAAAACACCTCAAGATGAGCTCCACGCCAACCTGTCTCGACTTGGACTCGACCCGACGGGACATGCGCAGCACAGCACAGAACAAAGCACGAGCACGAGCACAGCACCTCCGGCCGTAAAGTAATGCCTCAAATCGTGTCCACCGGGTTTCCTCTGCCCATGAGCAACGGGGCCGAGGACCCATCGGCCTCGTTCGCGTGTATGTGTCTACTCTATTACGCATCCAAACCATCATGCTCAATCAACTTGGCAACCGCCTTGAGCACGTCGTTGTCCCGCAAGTCCACCTCTGGCCTCTCCACCTTCAAACGGATCACGTCGTCCACCATGCCGCGGAGTCGCGACACAAGCACGCCCACCCTCGCCCATCCTCGCAGCCGCAGCCAGCCGTCCACCACCAACCCCCGCCCCATCGTGTCCAGTTCGATTGCGCCCGAAAAGAGCAACAGCGTGAACGCATTGAAGGCTTTCCGCGCAAAACCCACATCAGTACTTTGTCGCAAAGGAAACCCCAGACCCGGATGGAGTACTTACGTGTGAGATCGCGAATGAACGTCTTGCTCGTCGAGATGAGGCTGAAGTACGACATGAACGCCGCGCTGCCGGAGAAGCTCTGGCTACCGAAGATGGTGCTGCTCGGGTGCACGAACACCCGCCCCTGCTCCTCCGTGAAATACTTGATTGCTCGCGCCTCCGGGTCGAGCTCGACCGCGCCTGACATGGAATTGGCGAATTTCTTGTCTGGAAACTGGATCCGCGCAATCTGCGGGCTGAAAGCCGATGCTGTGAGCGCACGCAGCATGATTCGTGATGCATAGCCCTGTGATGCCGGTGCCTCGCCTCGCGTCTCGTGGTCGAACGCCACGCCCATCTCGCCCAGTGCGCCATAAAATTGCTGTCGCGTTGCGGAAATGTCTGTGAGCGTCAGGTAGGACAGGAAGTTGTCGTCGCAGAAATTGCGAAGCTGCCGCGGAGGTGTTCCGTTGCGCTTCATGCTGTCCCACTCTTTGTATGCCGCCAGGTCAGTGAGCAGATCACCATCGCCTTGCTCGAACCGCATGCGAGCCTCCTTTGCCAGGTCTCGTTTGTCCGGCGGAGACAAGAATGGGCTTCTTGTGCTGAGAATTGCTGAAATGGTAACGCAGTCGTCGAGACATCCGAAAATGGACCCGTACACCATGAGCTTGGCGCACCGGAGGTCGGCCGGGATCATGGCCAACTGTTGCCCGAGTGCCGTGAGCTCGTCCCCGTCGAGAGCGCCCATTCGTCGCAGCATTTTGATGGCCCCATCCACAGCCGTGCTCGCGGGCGGCGTCGGCGATCGCCCGAGAAAGGCGGCAACGTCTCGCATGCCCATGGCACGTACCGACAGGCACATTTGCTCCAAGGGTACACGCCTGATTTCAGGTTCCGGCCGCTCCGCCATTTGCATCTCCAAGTTGCGCGTGTACAGCTTGTAGCACTTTCCAGCCTGTACACGGCCTGCACGACCTCGCCTCTGCTTACAAGCTGCTCTGGATGCCCACATCTCCTCAAGCTTCCTCATGTTGTTCTGTGCGTCATAGGTCGTCTCCTTGACCTTGCCAGAGTCAACAACTGCCACGATGTCGTCGATTGTGATGGATGTTTCTGCGACATTCGTTGCCACCACAACCTTCCGCTTGCCTGGGGGCGCCCTAGCAAACACCCGCTTCTGTTCCCTCGTCTCCAGAGAGGCGTGTAGGGGGAGAACATGCAGTGACGAATTAGATGAAAGTGCCCGGCACGTTTGGCTAATCTCGGCAACGCCAGGCAGGAACACCAGAATGCCTCCTTCTTTCTCCTGGTACGACAGCTCGAGATCAATGGTCGAGATTGTCTCGTTCAAAAGGCTGTAGTTGATACGGTGACCGAGCTTCTGGATTGTCTGGCCCAGAGTTTCGCTTCGTGAATCATATGCGTCTGCTTTGAACCCAGTCATACTGATAATGTCATCCATGTAGTAGTCTTCCACGGGGTAAGTCCGGCCCTCGATCTCTACGAGACCAACTCGGAGGCCCTGTGAGCGGAAATAATTCTCAAAGGAGGCTGCGTCGAGCGTTGCACTCATCAAGACGAGCTTGAGAAGATCCTTGCGCGTGGACATGACCTCCCTCACTATGGTCAGCAGGAAATCCGTGTCCAAGCTGCGTTCGTGAACCTCGTCAATCACGATGTGACTGACGTCTGCCAGCGACGCTATCACGTCCTCGACCCGTCCCCCTGATGTCTGGAGGCGGCGCAGAAGCACACCAGTCGTCACAAATGTGATGCGCGTCTGTTGGCTTCGTTTTGACTCGCCTCGAATAGTGTAACCAATTTCGTCTCCAACTCGCGAGCACCGCTCTTCTGCAACGCGGTCGGCAAGACCAAGTGCGGAGATTCGCCTCGGCTGCGTCACCAGCATGTTGGCGCTTGTGCCAAGGCCTTGGTTATATAGGTCGTCTAGGAGGAACTGGACGGACTGGGTCGATTTGCCCGAACCTGTCTCTCCACTGATGATGGTCACATGGTTCTGGGCAACAGTCTGGATGATCTTTTCGTGGACCTGCCATGCGGGAAGTGACTGTCTCTTCGCCATCATCTTCTTGTACTCAGGGGTCTCTTGTCTCTTGAGCCATTGGTCCCGGCTGCGGGGGTTCGGCGTCCAGTCTATTGGCCTGGGTTTCCTGGAAAGCTTGCCGCTGTGTCGTTGCAGCTGAGGTACGGTCCCAGGGGCTTCGGAGGCGGTGGAGCTAACAGATGAGATCTCCACCAGCTTTCCAGGGTTCTCAATGATGCGGTTGATGTTTTGCTGAGCCCAGTCGGCCGCGACGAACACTTTCATCGGATCCGCGCCATAAGCCTCCTGAACATAGGCCAGTGTCTGTTTGATGACCGAGAGCTTCGCCTGGGCGGGCAATTGCGCCAGCACCGTGATGACGAGGTGAACAGGATAGCTTGGCGACTTGCGGATCTGAAGGACCGTATTCACGTTTGTCTTTGACCCATTTGTTACCGACTCCAGCTTGACTTGGATAATATCTTCGGACATCTTGGTGACAAGGTCGCCGAATGAGGACTCCATCGCCACAACCTCGTCATCCCAAACCTCGTCTGCTGTCATGTCTGGAGGGAGAATGTCTGATGGTGCTATCGCAGTCCAGTCTTCAATAGACTGGCCCAAGAGCCGGCATTGCAACGTCTCAGCCGCCTTGCTTTCATCACACCCAGTCTCCTCGAAGATGCGTGCACACAAGTCCAAGGCATATCCAGATTCGGCCAAGCGCTTCACAGCAGCCTCCTTCTTGAGGTCCAGAGATCCGACTGAAATGCCGGCGGAATAGCTCTCGGGGAGAGCCCAAGGAGGGATGTCGTCTTCGGGCACGTGAATCAGGAGCCATTCCAACGTCTCTTCGCGATCCTTGCAAATGTCCACAGCCTCTTCAATGTGGCTACGTCGAAAGCCTAGCTTGCTGAGGTCTTCGACAACGACCTGTCTCTGCGGAGGAGCCATGAGGACCTTGTTCGGGTTCCAAACGACATATTTCTGAATCAGAGACTCGACCTGGACTCGGGATTTGCGGCCCATCTCGATCTTGGGCACAGAGGTCCACCCCTTCATGGGGTTAAAGGAGCCAGCGCCGCTGCCGCCGGCGAGCACAAGGCCAGCAGCGCCCGGCATGGACTTTGCCTTCTCCTTGACTCTCTCGATTTCCTTTCTCTTCTTTTCGGCAGCAGCCTTGGCTTCTTGTCGTTCGCGGATCGTCTTGAAGGGGTCCGCATCGTACATCCAAGCCTTGCCTTCCTTGACGTCCTTTTGCTTGAGCGCCTGAAAGTCCTTCCAGAGAACCTTGTAGTCGGGAGGCAAAACGGTATGCTTGTTCTGCATGCTGCAGACGCGAAAGAGACCATACGTGGCAGCAAAGTGCCGGGCCTCGAGGGCAGTAGGCTTGGTGAGCAGATGCAGCAGGTCGGCGGGGATCTTAAACGGCTCCAGCCTGATCATCTCCTTGGTCTTGGGGTCCTTGGCGCTGAGGGTGATGAGACAAGAGTAACCCTCGGGCGTCTTGCGCATGTTGTAGTCGGGCTTCTCCCACTGCTGCTTCTGGCAGTACTCGTTGAACAGGTTGACGGGCAGCTTGCCAGTCCAGGATGCGCCGCCGATGATCTGTTTTGCCGTGGGCTTCGGAGGGCCGACCGGGCCGGCGGCCTGTTCGATGAGAGACGGGGCGCCTTTCTTGCCCTTGGGCGCATCTTTGTCCTTGGCCTTATCCTTGCCCTTGTCCTTGTCCTTGCCGGTGGCAGGCTGCGAGGCCGACGCCTGCGAGGCGGCCTGATCCTTGGCTTTCTTCGCCATCCTGGGGTAGATAAATATGGTGGAGAAGACTGCTAGTAACTCATGTGCGGCATGATGCACTGCAGCGTAGGCGTGTTGGTGAGAAACTCGGGATGAAGATCGTGAACGGGGGCAACTTTTCTCATGTCTGCCGTCTCGGTCTGTGTCTGGTCGTCGCGAATGAGTTTTAGTGGGGCAGCAGCGATCAGTCTACTGCGGCTTGTGCACAGCGCACTGCGACCCCGCGAAAGCTCTAGTGGGGTTTAGGTAGAGCCTCTGACGGTTCGCAAGACGCCTGCAGTGACGCGAAATAATGCCATCGACATGTTCGTTGGCTTCGTTGGCCGCATTGGGTACACGATAACGGCACCGGTTACGATGCTACCACATACACGAGACGGCAACATCCTCAAACTACGTTGACCGAGGCCTCTGAAGACAACGTCAAGAGTGGTCCCGCAGCGATGGACAAGCTCAAGCAGGCTTCCGATGAAGCAATGACGCGAGACGAGCTCGTGAGCTCAGCATCAACACAAAAGCAGCGCAATGCTTGTAAGAAGCTCCAACGCCCTGAGGAGTGCTCTGTTGAGGTCGGAAACTAACCGCAACCCCTTCAAGTCTCCGAGCTGATGGCACCGAAGCCCAAGCGAGCGAAACCCTCCCCTGCCGAACGTCCCCAAGCACCACATCTCGACAGGTTTCGCGACAACCTCGGCGTCTACATTGACAACCCGGCCTCTTTTCCTGCGTCCCAGGTCATCTACTACGACGATGACTTTGTCGCGATCCACGATCTATACCCCAAAGCGACAGTGCACGCTCTGCTCCTCCCACGATCCCCGCAGCACTGTCTCCTGCACCCCTTTGAAGCCTTTGAGGACGCAGACTTTCTAGCTTCCGTGCAGAAGGCGGTGCGCAAGCTCGAAGCCCTCGTCGCGAAAGAACTCCAGCGCAAACTCGGACACGAGAGCAAGGCCGACGCCAGGCGCGAGGCCGTGCTCAACGGCCATGTCGAGGTCGACGGCGACGAGCTGCCGCCCGGTCGAAACTGGGCGCTCGAGGTCAGGACGGGGATCCATGCACATCCGAGCATGAACCATCTGCACATCCACGTCTTCAGCAGGGACATGCATTCCAAGTGCGTGAAGCATCGCAAGCACTACAACTCGTTCAACACGCCCTTCCTCGTTGACGTGGCAGATTTCCCACTGGCAAAGGATGACCCGAGACGGCACCCAGGCCACGAAGGATACCTGAAGAAGGACTTTATATGCTGGCGTTGCCACAAGAGCTACAAGAACCAGTTCCAGCAGCTCAAGGCGCACCTGGAAGTGGAGTTCGACGAGTGGAAGAGGGAATAACGGCCTGGTCCCAAGAGAGATCGCGGAGCGCTGGAGGAAAATTTTCAATTTTTTATGACGACAGTGGAAAGAAAAGAAGACTCGGCAAGAAAAGAAAAAAAAGAAAGAAATACAGTGATCAACCCGCGTCATCCCGTGCTAGCATTGAGTGTGCGTCCCTTTCCCATTGTGTTGTCCGGACGCCTACCCTTCCATTCCTGGCCGAACGCAAGGCTTGTTTCTGACAAGCATGGTCCTGTAAACATGTGTGCAGAACTCGTACCATGTCTTTTGCGTGGTGGTTCCGAGTCCGTTTGCCCTGGGAAGCACGTGTCAGCGCTCGAAAAGAGAAAATAGACACGTTGATTGAGGGTAAAAAAAAAAGACAACTCACATTCAAGCCTCATCCTGCTCAGCCTCTGGCGAAGCAGCACTCTTGCTCCGGGGCGACTCATCGGCCGCAGGCACGTCGGCCTCGGACGCGGCAGACTCTGGCTCCTCGCGCTCCACGGCAGGAGAGGAAGCAGCGGCGTCGCTCTTGCGCGGCCGGCCGCGGCCACGACCGCCCTTGGACGGTGTCTGCGTGGTGCCGGCCGCCTTGGTGGTCGACGCGGCGGGAGCTCCGGCGGCGTCGCTCTTGCGAGGCCGACCACGAGTGCCCGTCGACCGCGTGTTCATCGCCGACGTCGACTTGGAGACGCCGGCGGCGGCGGTGAGGACCTTGGGCTTGCCGAGGCTTCCCTTCGGACGGCCTCGTCCTCGACGCGGCGTGCCATCGTCAACTCGCTGCTTCTGCTTCTTCTCCGAGTCGGGCTTTCTGGGGCGGCCGCGACCGCGCTTGACGGGCTCGGCTGGGGCTTCTGATGCCATTGTGGGCGGTGATTTTATTGTGTGTGATGGTTTTTGCTTGGAATCAAAGTTGAAACCGATTATGGAGGCGTCGATGAACGTGAATTGGGAAAGAGTTTGGAGAAGAGACGTGGTAACGCGTGGGTGATGCAAGCTGCAAGAGGTTCTCAATTTACGCGGGGAGCTAAGCGTGTAGAAAGTATAGAAAGTCGCGTCTCCATCCCCAGTGGATACCTGTGCGCGTGCAGGTCAATCAGCAGACCCCTGTCCCCGGAGACGAATGATTCAAAGTCAAAACGCCTCCGCCTTTTTATTAGCCACTGTGCTGAGACTACTTTACCACAGCATCTCTTCGGTAATCTTGTTACCCAAAGCCCCATCACAATGGCAAATCTCGTTGTTCACTTATTCATTCAAGAGAGTTTCTTTTCAACGCGCGGTTGCAAGTTTGAAAACATGTATTTTGAAGCGCTGATCAGACAAGAGATGCACTGACGCGCAAGGCCTGACAATCGCGTGTTGCTTCCTGACTCGGTCGGTCTGCTTTAACCTCGACCAAGCGCACGTAAAATAATCACAAATCATATACATGCATGGTATCCAGCCCACGAGCCGAGTCGCATTGCTTTTCCATACCTTTTCCAGCATCCTCTGCCGGGGGATCCCTAGATTTTGAGGCCTAGTGTCGCATTGTGCCAATCTTCTAGATCTTGACCTTGCCACTGGCGCCGCTCTTGACCCTCTTGGCCACGGGGCGGTTGATGTGGTGGTCGGGGATCCAGCTCTCGTCGTAGCCCTTGCCGGAGCCCGTGGCCGCGGCGGAAGAGGCCGAGTCCTGCTCGGGGACGGGGACGGTGACATTGACGGTCCTGACCTTCTTGCCGCTGCGCTTGGCCTGGGGGAACAGGGCCTCGATCCAGGTCTTGTAGACGAAGTAGAGAGTGCCAGTGAAGGCAGCGCTGAGGAACAGGTACAGGAAGATGCTGTGCACATTTGTCAGAACGGCGCGCAAAGAAAATCAAAGGGTTTGCTCGAGACGTACATCTGGGGGTCCAGAATGCTGGTGGGAGGCTCAACCACGGCGGCAGGGGCGTTGTAGGCAGGCAGCTGGAAGACATCGCCCTTGGCGTTGCTGATGACGGCGACAAGCTGAAGCTTGACGTCCTGGGGCTGCATGTCGAGGGCGAAGGAGTAGGGCACAGCCTTCTTCTCCTTGGGCTCGATGGTCAGATCGTAACGCACAGCCGTCAGGTTGCGGACAATGACCTCGGTAGCAAGCTCCTCGGCGCGAGACAGAGAGCCGGCAACGAATGCGACCTGAATGGGGGCATCCTCGTGGTTGGTGATCTCGACGACCGCCTTGGTCGGGCGACCGTTGACAAGTTTCACACCAAAGATGTCGGCATCGGGAAAGGTAGCCTCGACGTCGGCAGCCAGCGTGGGCGCATCGGCAACGGGAGCTCCCTCCTGTGTCAATTGGCGTCAGCGGCATGATGCGAGGGTCGCGAGGGTCGCCGTCTCAGTGTAAACTCACAGGCACAGCATCCTGGGCGATGGCGCCAAAAATGGGAAGGGCGAGGAAACCCAGAACAGCAGAGGTGAATTGAACCATGATGGTATTGAAGAGGCCTTGTTGCAGAGGGAGGGAGGAAGAGGGCTGGATTGGATCGAAGAGGCACGGGGCCGAGCAAGAAGAGGAGAACAAATGACCTAGGGCTTTTCCCTTTCGTTTCCAGCGACGAGCTTGTCTGTCTGTGTGGGGGAGGTAATGGAAGAGAGTTTAGGCAGTGGTAGGAATTTGGGGAAGCTCTGGGGTGGCTGGTGGCTGGCCGGCTGCGTCAAAATACCCTCAGTAGAGACACTGCCCGTGCGTGCCCTGGAGTCAGCAATGTGGCCAGAGTGCAACGTCCCCGCAAAGGGGCGAAAAGCAGGGCTCCACCTGCCAGCCACAGCGCACGCCATCCGTCTCATAGCCACTCTTGGCTGTGGACATCGTGAGCTGCCCGTGGCATGCTTGCCATGTTGACCACGTCAGGAGCCGCAAAGGTTGACCGAATATATGTCTTTTTTGTTTCCTACTGACGAAGCAACCAGGCCATGTCCGCTGCCCCTTGCATGGCCCGCGCCAGCCGGTCTTTAATCACGTACATAAAAAAATTACAACGCCCACGTCCAAAGCAAATATTACTCATAGACTCTTCTCCCATGTGCAGTCCCCGAGGCCCCAACTCAGCACGTGGCGGATTTTCCCCGTGCATCGTCCATTTCCGTGAACTGGCTTGCTGTTCCCTCTATGCCTGGATGGTAACCTCATCCGTAACGCCCGAGCTCGCTGGCCGAAAGTGGTGTAGCCAGAGTCGCAATGTAGAATAACAAGAACAGAAACAAATAACGGATAAGGGTGCGAACACCCTCCTCCAAGCGTGAAGGAAAAGATTCGTGGGTCTCGTCAAGTCGTTTGATATTAGTCGTAAGGGGGTTGGGGGTCTCTCTTCCTTTGGGCTCCGTTTGGGTCCATGTCGGACAGTGTGTGCGGCCGAAGAGTCGAGCACCGCTGGGTAGGTTCGGATGGCATCAGACTCTGAGATGGACGAGGCAGGATGAACCTTCTGGCTTCCGAGCTCATGCGTTGATGAGCTGGCCTGCCTTGGCCGGATAGTTGAAGGCACCGAGCTCGTTCTCATAGCAGCCGAGGTCCATCAACGGGGACGGATGGCCGGTGGATGAACGAAATGGGACAGTGAAGCCCTTCTTGAGTTCAATCTGGACGTACTCGGCCGCCCGCTTGTATCTCTTGTCGACATACTTCTCAAAGACAGCCGCGTGGTGCTCGCGAGGCGACTCGCAGCAGGAGAGGATAAGGCGCACGAGTGACTTCAACTGACTCCAGGTGTATCCCGAGTAGTGAACATGGGCCTGGGACTACAGAAAAACGTGTCAGCAAGAATGTCATGCACTGGATCGCATGCATGGCGCTGTTGGTGACTTACCCAGTCGCCCTTCTTCAGAATCAGGCGGGACAGGCAATGGGCGCCTGCCGCCAGGAAGCTGGGCGGGCTTGCGACGAAGCGCTCGTCCATGATGGTTACTTCGAGGAAGTACTTGGCTAGGGTGCGTGTCTCCAGATCGTAATCGTCGGCTTTGCTAATGCGTCTGAGGAAGCTCATTGGACCAGGCCATCCCAGCTCGAAGCCCAGCATGCTCAGCATGAAGCGCTCCGCCTTCAGGATTTCCTCAACGGCGTACGATCCATCAACCATGAAGACAATCTCCTCGAGCGAGGGGCAGTTGATCTCTTCATACTTGGATGCGAGCAGCAGAGCGGTGGCACCAACGAGCTGGAGCTTGCCGATAGAAACAGCCTTGAACGTCAAGAAGCGGTCGATAAAGTTGACCGTCAGGAAAAGAGTTTCTGGAAGGAGACTGAAGCGTGCATGCACTTGCACAAGCCAGTCCATGAGGACTGAGCGCATAGACCACTGGATCTCGGACTGGTGATCCATGTAATGGGGATCGGGCATCATGCGTGTCTGTGTCGGTGTCAGTAAGCTATTTCGAGGGTACGACACGAGAATGATGACGACTGACCTCGAGTTCCTGAAGATACTCAAAGATATCTTCGCCGTACTCTGCGACCATGCAGACATCCCAGAACTCCTCCTCAACCTCATCAGGAGTGCGATGGTACTCGACATGCTCTTTCGCTGCCTGGAGCTCTCGCTGCACGAGTTCCGTAAACTTGGGAGCAAGGAGGGCAGTCGCACCGCTGACGGTCATTTCACCACGCGACTTGTAGGAGTGGGCCGTCGTGTATCCCTGGTCATCGTAGAGTTCTTCTTCCTCAACCTCGTCCCAATACTCCTCGGGTTCCGACATGGGAGGAGCAGGCAATTGCTCAGGCAGAGCGAGATCCAAGTTCCGGTCCAAGTTATGTGAAGTCTCGCCACCAGTCTCGGGGTACTGGGATGCGGCTTTGTCGTCGTATCCACGGTCTTGGGCAGAGTGGCCGTTCCCTTCGATTCCTTGCAACTGCTGGTCGAGGATGTGTTCGAGGGCATCCTCGTAAGCGGTCTCGGTAACGTCGTCGAGGTACTTCGACTCTTCGTGGTCGAGAGGCTCGGACGTCTGTGCCGCGAGGTACCTGCTCTGGGTGCGTCGCAGCGGTTGTTCAACAGCCTCGTTCTTAAGCTGAGGCTGAGACTTGTGGTGGCGAGGCTGGAAGGTTGTCATGGCGGGTTTCGCGGGGGCGAGGTGGGCCACAAGGTCAGCCTCTTCATTATGGAGAAGAGCGCCGTTGTCAGCGGACGGCGCCATGTTCAGATTGACATCCAACATGCTGCCCAGGTTCGCCTGGACTTCGTGCTCGGCCGAGAGGTGTGCAAACGATGTAGGGTCGAGAATCGACTCTCCCTGGAGAGTGTCGACTGAGGTCGAACCCACCAGCTTGCCATCCGCCGTCTTGGGTCTCGAGGCCTGCACGTGTACGAGTTGAGCCTGCGACGCGTCGGGTCGCGTATCATTGTGGACAGCGAGCTTGTTCTGGCTGCCAACATGCATGGCTGAGGCCATCGTCTTCAGATTGCCCTTGGCGGGTTGGGAAGGAGCAATCGATCGCTGTGCGGGCTTGGAAAACCCAAACGTAGTTTGCGTGCTGAGGGTGTTCTTGTCGGCAGCGACGGGAATCTTGCCCTTGGTAGCGCCGACACCGCCGTTGCCCGAGGTGAGGCCCTTGACAACATTGCTCACATCGCCAAAGACGGTGCGCTTGGCAGCGGCCTGGAGGGCACCATTGCGTGAAGCGGCTTGAAGGTTGCCTGTAGACTTGTGGCGCTGGTGTCCAGACTGCTTGCTCGTGACCGTCATGTTCTCGTTGCCCAGCGCGGGGAGGGCAGCGCGAGGTCGTTGAGGCTAATTGTGGAATTGAATGTCAGAATGGCTCTTTCTGTGGTGATGACAGTAGTGATGAATTGGGAGTGATGTGAATGTGGGCAAGAGGAGAGTTGGGTTGGGCTGGCGGAGGTACAGAAATTGGCAATTACACGGAAGAGGATAAACTTACTCTGGCGTCCATGTTGATTATAGTGGTCCAAGCTTAGATATGCTGTGTGAATGCTGCGCGCTCTTGCAATTCCGACGACTCCTCTGAGGATTGGAAGATAGTCTGGTAATTGTCAAGCGCCGAGTCTCAACCTTCGCTCAGTGCATCGGCGGTATTCTGCTCGTCTTTCTGTTCGAGGATAATCCCGTAAACAAGCTGTTGCCTACTGCTACGTCGGAACGTGAATCCTGGTGCCGAAGCAGTACCGGGCAGTCAAGTCGTCGGGTGAAGAGCTGCTGGAAAGAAACAGTTCAAAGGCTGCCTTGTCGAGAAAAAGAGGTGAACAGCCGAGTGGAGGGGAGATGGATGGGTTGGCTGCGAGGTTGTCGACGTCGTCGTGGTTTAGACCTGGCTTGCCGCGAAAGGGGCGACTGTGATGACAGCCAGTAATTACCTGGTGGACGTTGGGGTTGGTAGGGGAGTTGGAGGAGGGAAGGATATGGATAAGGCGAAGGGAAAGAACCAAACCATGGGGCAAGAGGTGTGCGCTGCCTCCCCTAGGAATGCGGTTGTTATACGGCCGGTGCCTTTTTAAGAGATGCAACGGTGGAAGGTGAGATTTGTTTGTTTACCATGGGACCTGGCAGGCACAGGAGCTTCTCCAGGATCCAGAGTTTGGTGGGGACCTGTCTAGCCAGGAACTGACCACTGACGCGGTCGCACGTGCTTGGAGCTCCAACAGACGCGCTCCGGATTGGCCAACCATGTGGACCCCTGTCGCCCCGGCGATCCCAAGGGAAGCCGTAGCGTCCGTCGTCATTCCGGAGCTCTAGAGCCTGCCAGCCAGCTGCCATTGACGAGGCTCCAGACAGCCACTGACTCCTACCCAAAATGAGACGCAGGCATGCCGATATGCGACGCGGCCCACGCATAAAAATACTGCCGAGAAGCTTGTGTTGGCTTATTCGTTGGACTAGCCAGGAGATAGGCACGCCCGCATGTCCATCCTGGGAGTAGCTCGTCGAAACCCTTCTCAACAATCCCAATGGAGTCCACGGCACGCCTCGAAGCCGGCAGCTGTGTCGTCAAAAGGAAGGAGAGCAAGCGGATACTTCAGCATTCGTACGCTATGCCAGCTTATTGATGCTACACAGATTGCCGATGCGATGCGCTTTTGGCATTGTTCGGATGGGGCTCAACGAGAAAAGCCTTGTCTATTGTCCCAGCAAAGGCAAACTTGGTATCGAGATCAGTATGATTCTCATCCTCCGCGGGCCTTTACGAGCCAAATGGCTGTCTCGGGTGCGAACTTGGATGCATTTTAAAAATCCCACAGGTCTGTTCTCCACGTGTATCAGAGCGTTGTGCATCCCCCGAAGTGGCCGGACATTGCTAATTAGGAAGAAGCTCCCTTGACAGCCAAGCTAGCGCATATTCCGGTGTTGTGGGTTGGAATTCGTTTTGAACAAGAACGTTGGCCAACGAGACTCGTATTCACCGAGGCATCAGTAACAAAAGCACTGCCGCTCTATGCCTCTTCGAGCCTCAAACAGAGAGTCGAGAGGCCGTTACAAAGGGTTGCTGATCCGACTCTTTGCACTTCTCAAACTCGCGGGCTTGCTGTCGACACCTCATGTGTCTGATGTGGGTCACGACATTCTGGCAATCGCCAGGCGACATCCCCACTCATTCACGCAATATCAAGTTGACGGTGAGCGCGGCCATCGCCAGTCGGAAAAACGATCCTTCATTCCGATTAGTCTAGTGGTTAGGATATCGGCTTGTCATCGCTCTTCAAGGCAGACTCCGCCGGGGACCGGGGTTCAATTCCCCGATCGGAAGACATCTTTTGCTTTTTCTGGTCAGGGGAAGACACAGCATATTTGCAGAACCAGGGCGTGTTCGTTTTTTGGGAGGGGCACAACTTATTGGCTGGGTGGCCTACGAAATGGCAAAGCCCGAGCACGTGAGAATCGTGGCTTGTGATGCAGTGGCTTCGATGCTTATTATGTGGCTTGGGTTTGGGGTCTGCGTTTGCGGCTGCACGGACCCTTACATATCATCTATCTGCGATGACACTAGTACGGAAATGGAAGACTGTTGAGGCTGTCGCGTCTCCCTCATAACATCATAAAGGACAACATTCAGAGCGATACGGCCGAATAGCTACCAAGTTACTTTTGACTAGTGTTTTGCGATTAGCAAAACTCTGGAAAACATATCACCAAAGAGTTCATGGAACTTTCTTCAATGACAAGTCTACTCAGAACCCAGAGTGTCAGCTGACCATATTTCCAGCTGTTTTCGCGTTGTTGTGCTGGACCCGGCACGAGAGTCTCGCGAGGTCACCTGACCCATTTCCCCCTCCAAAACCGCCATATTTCCCGAGCGTCAACTTCTACATCGGCTGGTACGACGACGTCGCAAAGGATGAGTCGGCGCGCGCTGACCCATCGCAATTCCCATTCGTATATATGTTTCCAGTCGACGCAATCACGATGCACAAGCTATTGCCGTCGCTGGCGCATTTTGTTCGGTGCTCAGAAGGGTAGCAGGCTGGGTCAGCAACACAGTACGCGCTGTCTGCTCACGTTGCCGGAGTCGTCGGGCGGTTGGACAGGAACAGCGGTCGGCTTTTTTGAGACCGCCAACGGCAGCCAGTCGCATGGTGCTGTTGCACCGCCCTGACGCAGAGCGTGTTGTTTGTTTTGACTCGGGCTGCACCTCTGTGAGGTGAGTGCAAGGAGCTGGGGCTCCTGTCCATGGTCGCGCGCATCCGCACCGCATAACGAACGAGCTGGCCATGTTCCATTGTGGTGTGCGCGCAAGAGTGTGAGTGTTGTCGCTCGTTCACAAGCTGACCTGCGAATTGGCTGAGGCAAGGACTGGCAATCGATAGTCTGCATGAGGATGGCATCACCCCCTCACCAGAACCGCCACGCAAGCTGCGCTAAGGTCGTCTCGAAGCGTCGGGGACCACATTATCGCCCCGTCTTTCGTGAGCGGACCTAGGACATGCTGTGCGCATGTCTGCGGAAAGAGATCAGTCGTTTGCATGGGCACGCGGCTCTCTCATCTCTTAGGACAGCAAGGTGCCTGTCTGTCCGTCCGTCTGTCTCTCCATCGACTTGGCTCAACTACGCGCTCCATGTCAGATCAGCCATGCTGCACCTGCACCGTACGCGCTTGCACGATCGAGACTGTCCGGCGATGGATGCGACCCTTGTCGCTGTCTGACGCCAGTCGCAAGACGGGGGAATTGCGCTGGCACTGTGCAACACGAAGCCCCGATGTGCGATGCGCATCGAAGCTTCGTCACGGAGAAACCAAGGGTCGCGGACGTTCGAGCACAAATTGTTCATGCATCGCAAGGTGTGGGAACGAATTTCCTCCTTCACAGCCGTTCATCCTCATGCAGGTGTGTGAGTTTTCGCAGGTTTCGCAACGGATGGTCCAGATGCGATCGAGCGCCGATCGTCCCGGGCGCATTCAGAATGTGGATGGCCAGCTGGCTGGCTGCCTGTCAGCGGCCGAAACCTAGTCATCATGAATGACTAGCATATTCTGTCAAAGATGCAACGTACTCTAATGTTGGAAGAGAGAGGTGGAAGGAAAAAGAAAAAGAAAAAGTAAAGCATCAGCTGCAAATCTTTCTGATGCCGTGTGCGCAAGGACTACCAGGGCTTGCAATGCGCTGCCATGCGATGCGACACCATGCGATGCGCCGCGCTGGCAGCAGGCCTTGGGCAGCCGTCGCAAATCGCAAAAAAGATACAATTAAGGTCGCATCCCATGGCACAGTTCAAAGCAAGCGCACATGGCCTGCATGCACACCGTAACTTTGGTCTGCAGGGCTTGCTGGGCGCGCCGGCGGGAGGAAGGTACTTGTACAGAGACGAGTAAGGTACGACAAGCAAGTGCTTCTCGGATGCAGTAGGAAACTCTCCGGGGCAGGCACTGCACAGAGAACAAACTATACATCTGGCAAAGCAGGGAGGCACCTAGGTAATAGATAGGTATGGTACCTACCTAGGTGAGGTACCTAGGAAGGCAGGCAGGTGTTTTCCATTTGCTTCGGGAACACCAGACGGAATCTCGTGGCAGAAGCGGCCCTTTGCGCTGTCAATCATCAATTGAGTGACCTCGGGATCAAATCATGTGCTCCAGTACCTAGCCAAATACCCTTGTCCGGTACACCATCGCATCCCCATGCCGCCTTGCGGCGCTCGCTGGCCAGTGGAGAGAATGCCGGAGAAGCATCTTGAGGAGCGGTTTCTCGATGGGCGGCCAGGTGGCCAGGCGACTTTGAAACAAGAGGCCGGGGTACTCAATCTGACGGACTGGAAGCTTGTGCCTGCCATGGGCCACTCAGCGTCTGGCAAAGAAGAACCGGTCGTGGCCGATCAGTGCGTTGTTGGTGAACAGTCGGCGGTCCTCGCAGAAAGACTGTCCGGACTAGGCTGTACCTGATACGACCACCGGGGCCATCTCACTTCGGATTCCGTTCGACTGGAACTGTCGGCCAGTCGCTGGCTGGTGAAGCATGGCTTGGCAGAGCAGAACGGTAGGCAAGTCGGTACATACCTGCGTACTGGCTGAGCAAGATGTGGCCGTGAGGTGGGGAAGATCGAGTCGCCGAGGGTCCTGTGCTCAAGTTTCTGGGTGTCATCCGGCCTGCCGCGCTTCCCTTCCCACCCACCGCTCACACATCTGGCGCCTCTAGTTGGACAAGTCACCCATGTCATTGGCCGGGACCAGGCGGTCGTGGTCGTGGCTCTGAGTCCTGGTTGCATAACACCATAACCGTGATCGCTCCGTTGTTTTCTTGTCTCACGCCCTGTTATTTACCTTATCAAACAGTGGCTGCCTCTTCGGGCGACTTTGAAGTGTGAGCCAAGCGCAGGTGGGATGTGCCTGGCCTGGTGCCTTGGTAGAGGCCTACCTACCTAGGTAGGCTGTCCTCATTGATGGCCGTCATCCTACAGTGTACGATGAGCCTGAGAGTATGCCAACCTTGCAAGCCATTGGCCAAGAGCCATGGTTCGGGGCACAGAGCGGAGCCAGGTAGAACGCCATGTCCTCAATCATGAACTGTTTCTGTTTCGTACCTGTTTTTTGCGTGAAGAAGACAGTGACTGAAGTGCTGAAGTGCGCGCGAGGGGGCTGGCGATCTGCTGGATAACAAGCACAGTTGGGCGCTTCCACAAGCGCGCATACATGACGCTGCTGAAGTGTACATCGCTGACCAGCGGGAATGAAAGCACCACCCGATCCTTGCTACCTCAGGAACTTGGGGGGTGGGCTGTGAGGTCAGAACCCTGGCTGGTGCGCTCGCCCGTAGTGCGCGAGATGGCAAATGTCTCTCGAGAGGGCGAGGCGAGGTGTGACAGACCAGAGCAAAGCTGGGCCGGTCGGAAGGGGGTAGCAAACCGTGAAACGAAAGGGAAAAGGCGGGTGAGCTTGTCCATTGGCGCATGAGCTTCCGAGTCGTCCTCTTTTCACGCCCAGCGTTCTTGGTCCGAATGCGCCTTACCAAATGCGCCGGAGTGCTGAATTGGACCAGTCTGGGAAAGGGCACCACCTTTTACCTGGGGACCACCTGCCTAGGCAAGGTCGAGATGGGCTCTTCTTGCTTCGAGGTAAGGTCCACCCACCTGCGCGCACTCAGACTCAGATACCAGTGCCACCAGCGGGCGGCAGTGGGCCATGAGGCAGGGGTGACAGAGGCAAGCGAGTGAGAGTGGGCAAGGGCAAGTGGGGTCAATACCTTCCCAGCTTGCACCCCAGGCGCCAACCCTCCCAGGGGGGCAGAGGGAACAGCCGGTGAAGGTGATTACGATTGGAATTGCGACAGCAGAGGGGTTGAGGCAAACGACTGAGGAGTGCTCCTCCATGCGTGCGTGGGAGAGGGAAGAGGACGGGGATGCCGGGCTTAGCAGAAAACCTCCTCGACGTGTTGGCGATGAGGGAATGTAATGGTCAACAGTAGGCGGGTAGCAGGGAAAGTAGCACCCTGAACCACCCAAGTGCCCACGCCACCCACGCAGCTCGCGCACTGTGCGGCGGCCCTGGCCGTTCGTGGCCTGGCAGGGTGTCACAGGGCCTTTAGGGAGTGGTGAGCGCCATTCCCAGTGGATGACACCGCTGGACAGCGCACCACGACCGGCCGGCCCAGGGGTGCAGACCGCAGTGCAGACCATCAGCCGTCGACCGTGGCCAGCGGACCGCAGACCGCAGACCGCAGATTCAGAGACAAAATCGAACCTCGCTGGAACTCCTCTTTTCCCTCCCATACACACAACCCACGGATTGCTCCTCCCGTAGCCATCCTTCAACGCCATCACCTTCTCGTTTGGTGAGTCTTTCCCATTCTCTCGCTCTATGCGATCATGTGAGTCCTCTGCTTTGCCCTCTCCCGCTCAGTCTCGCACTCCCATCACCCCGGGGCTCGCTCCTCAGACCCGTCCTTCTTGTCCTGCCCAACCTCAGGTGTGCCGACTCACGCAATGCTGGGCCTGACATCCGATCGTTGTCCTCTACCCATTCCCCCAATGAGCCATCTGCTTCATCCGCTTGCTCATCGCCGTTACTTCGCGATTATCAATACTGATCGGGCATTCTCGACAGCAGTCTCGAGGAAACTCCAACCCCGACCATTCCCTGATATCCTGCCGACTCGTAGTACCAATAACCGACAATACTTCCGACAGACCGCAATACAGGGCACGCATCACTGCGAACCCGTCCAAGCCCCGGTGTGACAACACTCTAGAAATAGTCAACGACTCATTTCTGGGCTAGAGGGTCGGCATCAAGCAGAGGTCAAGGCACCAGTCGCTGCCGGGCTGCCACTCTCGTCGCTTCGGCCTCAGGGCGGACGTCCTCACCCGACACCAACCCTCAGTGGACCAACAGGCTACTGTTGTCCCATCCTCCAACAACCATCTCCGACAAACTTCATCCTTTACACCGCAACACATCATTGTTCCCACAGCGAGGTGAGGCGACAGTCAAAATGGCCTCCGCATCCCCTACACCTGCTGCGAACTGTGACCAGGCCGTCCGTTCCGCTACGGGCAGTGTCTCTCCTCACCAAGTCGCAAGCCCGAAGAAGGTCACATTCGAACTCCTCTTCACCGAGACGCAGGTTCGTGGCCGTCTTCCAATGCGTGTCGATATTTTCCCCCATGATTCTACCGACTCCATTGTCACCACTGTCAAGAACTTTTACGGGCTGTACTCGGGCCCGACCGGCTCCCGAGGCGTCAGTTTCGAGGATCAAGACGGCACTACCCTCATCGCCCGCTACGAGAATTTCCGCAATTGCATGACTGTCTATGTTCGTGTCATTGAGGATGCTCCCGCGGCCTCCTCCAATTCCTTTATTCCTCCAGCCTTCAACTCGGCCCCCAATCACACTCAGCCCTTCTATGGGACCGAAGCATACCCCCTTCAGGCGCCGCCGCACTTCACGTCCGAGTTCACAAGGACCGCTTCGCGGTCGCCTCGGAGGCGCAGTCCTTCTCCCTATGGCGGGCACGACCGCCGCAGCGCTTCAGCCAACGCGAACCCGCGCACGACCAAGAAGAGTCGATCACGCTCCTCGAGGGCCCGTGATCCAGCCGCCCACCCACACGCCGAACTATACAGTGATAGCATCAACGGCTATAGCAGTGGCGACGGCGCGCCCGGAAGTACCACCTCCGGCAAGGCCAAGGAACAGCTCGGCAACACTGAGATTAGTCTTGAGAATATTGTCGAGGGTGGCCGTCGGAAGAGGGCCAAGTTTGAAAGTTCGGTAAGCTTCTCCACGAATCGTGCTTCCCTTCTCGATTGACTCGTCTTGCTGCTTGTGGAACATGGCTGATCTCGGTTCCCTTTTCTTCTTCAGGAACTGCCGCTGTTCGCACCCCCGCAAATGCCAGCCGCCACATCGAACCCATCAGTGTCGCCTGCGCGTCGCATCGAACACCAGCGACCCTCAATATCCCATGCGCAGCAAGGCCAGAATCCATTCACGAACCCTATGCCACTGCAGTCCCCGCAAAGCTACAACAACGGCTTCGGGCAGGCTGCTTTCTACGCAACACCCGCCTCTGACACTCGCCGCGCCCGCAACAGCATCAGCCACAGCGGTCAAGGCAGTGCTCATGCTGGTATGTCTGGCATCCTGCCGACACCAGACCCGACTGTCGGCAGTTGCATGTCAGAGGAGGACAAGGATGTCGCCATCCAGCTAATGCGCCTGGGTGACATGTCAAACATCTCTCACGGGCGAACCTCGGCGTCGACTCTCGATGACACATTCAGCGGTCGCGCTGACGCTGCCTCGTCGACTGGTGCCACTAGTGAGGGAGACAGCGACAGTGAAGAGGAGCTCCCTGAGGCTCGCCGCCAGAAGCTCGATGCCGCTGGGACTATGCGCAAGATTTACCAGACCACCGAGAGCCACTTTATGCCTCCGAATGGCGGTCTCGACAGGGGCGCTACCCTCGGTGAAGACGCCGCGACCCGACCTACCCAACAAGATGAGCCTCCTATGAAGCCATTGAAGTCCAAAACGGCCCTGCCAGACATGCCCAGGCCTAAAGTCTTGACCTCTGCGGTCAAGACCAGCAAGACGTCAAAGGCAAGCAAAGTGCCTCGTCCTGTTGGTACCACCAAGTCGAAGAAGCCTGCTGCTTCTGTGGCAAGCAACGGCCCCATGTCGCCGTCCTCGCTGCCTCCGTCGCGAAAGCCGTCTGTCACAGCTGGCGTGCCCCTTCCACCGGGTACCGTCGACGAGGAACAGCTTGACCTCTCTGCCAAGCCGCGCTGTCAGCGCTGCCGGAAAAGCAAGAAGGGCTGCGATAGGCAGCGTCCTTGCGGTCGCTGCAAGGACGCCGGTCTCAGTGCCGACCAGTGCATCAGCGAGGACGAAGGTAACGGCCGCAAGGGTCGCTATGGTCGCCACATGGGTGTCCCCATTAAGATGGAGGACATCGCTGTCGGTCCATCGCATCCCTCTCTCATGCCTTCAGCAACTCCAGTGTCTGCTGCCACTACTGCCGCCGCCGCCGCTGCGGACAAACTGAAGAAGCGCAAACGGTAGAATTATGACACAAATCATAGCCTTCAGCTTGTGTCTGCATCCACAATTGATGCGCTTCCGATGAGGCAGAGCAGACTAGGGCAGGGCGCAGCAGCCGTGAGGTCTACGATTCTTTTTGTCAAGGTCACGGGGGTAGGACGGGGAATCGGGAAGTAATCGAGAGGACCTGGCAAGGTCACTTTCACTCCTTGATGGCGTTTGGAATGGTGTGGCTCAGCGGCAAGCAAGCAAATCATGACGGTTTCCTTATTCTTTTCTTTCTTGTCCTTGGTACTCGGTTCCCCGCCTGGAGCCAGCGACACCAAGCTGGCCAATGATCGCAATAAAAGCTGTGTGGGACTGCGGCAGAAAAGGCGTGCCGTGTTGGAATACACGCATGCTGGATGACGGCAGGAGGCGCAGCATGGGCGTGGGATACGCCGCGCTGCACGGCAAAAGGCTGAGGCGAGATCGGATGTTCTCTCTTGGCTGGACAGAAGGGGGTTGGGTTG